TACTGTACCTCAAGGACTTATCTTAGGCCCCGTTCACTTTCAAAATATTCAAACCAGTTCAATCATCAAATTGTTTAAGAATTTATCTAGCCGGTTAGACGCTGTTTTTTGTCGATCCGAATTGTGTCCACACTCGAAATGGATTGAAGAGTCACGTGACTAGAGTCCGCCATCTTGAATGTTTACACGAAGCCGCCGCAACTCATTGTGACAGAAATTTTGCCAAAGGAAGGAGCACAAAAAGCATGTTCAGTGTAGAATCTTAGCAGAGATACATAGGGGACATCTCTCATGTTTGTGGTGGTGGATTTAGCTTGCAAAATTGTGCAAGGGCAAACATTTTGCAGGGTGTAGTATAAAAGTCTTGTTATACCTAAGCTCTCTCTTGTTAGTCCTCTATAAAATGCTCCTAATCTGTATCAATAAGCCAACATTGTACATGTAGTATCACGTTACTCCCTGAGTTAACAGAATCTAATGTACTTCATAGCTCTTTTAAACCCTACATGTACATTGGCCCGTTTGAAAATAAGCTTTAAAGGGTAACCTCTTACGTAATGTACGCCTGTGTCTTTGCCAGGCTTTTAGTTGTCATGGCAACACAAAAGATAGAGGAAGTAGAAGTCTTAGTGCCTAAATAGGATAGGCTGGAGACAAGCTTAGGCCACACCAATTTAATTTCTTGGTTAACGGATTTTTTTTTCTGATTTGCAAATAAAAATAAAAATTCAGAATCTGCAAAATGCTCATATTTTGCCCTGAACAGTTGAAAACAGTCCTTTCTTCCTAGTTGTTACAGTTATTCCTTCTTTCAATGCAGTGGTATCATTAAAAGTTCAAAATTCATTGTTTAAATTTTGAACCAGCCTGATGTGTTGACTTCATGGCTCCTATCGTGCCATTTTGGGCCATAATAGGATGCCTAGGCCTTGTTTTTTTTTTTTTTTTTTGCCAGCCCGCTCCATTATTTTTCTTCAAAAATCCGTTAACCAAGAAATCAAATTGGTGTGGCCTTAGGCTTTTAGTCTATTCTATTCAGGCTATTACCTAAGGACAAGAAGGGTATGTTTTTTGGTAGCATTTGTTGTGTTGTAAATTAAGAAGGATTGGATGGATTATTATGAAATTTGGTATGTGGTTAGGTCTTGGCCTCTCGGAGAAATGATTTGATTTTGGGCCCCCTGACAGCTTTCCTTGGTACTGCAGCAGAGTTTTCAACTACTACATTAGACAGCATATTTTGCAGAGTTTTAGTTGTAATAAAAACTGGTGTAATATTGAACATATCTCTGGATCATTTGAAAACTTAACTAATGACATAGAAAATTATTTTCAAAGTTTGCATCAATTTGATTGCGCTTCAGAAGGTTGAGCTTAATTGAATTGAGTCTGTGCCAGAATAAAAGTTACATGCAGGAAATATTGATTATGATATACAGAGGAATGTTTCCAGGTTTTTGCATTAAGCAATTTGCTGCAAAGTGCACATGAGTAGCTACTGGAAGTTATGATTTGTAAATGCACTTGAATCAGGCCACACCAATTTAATTTGTTGGTTCTCGGATTTTGTCAGAAAAAACATGAAGCGACAGGGCGAAAAAAATAAAAACAGGTTTAGGCATCCTATTATAGCCCCAAATGCTATGATAGGAGCCATGAAGTCAACACAAAAGGTTGTGTTAATATTTAAACAATGAATTTTGAACTTTTAATCAAACCACTGCATTGATAGATGGAAACACCGCAACAGCTAGGAAGAAAAGGACTTTCCACAACTGTTGGGGGCAAAATATGAGCATTTTTGAGTTGATTCAGAACCAGAATCTTTTTTTTTTTGCAAATCAGAAAAAAATGAAGAGGCGAATCCGAGAACCAACAAATTAAATTGGTGTGGCCCTAGGAAAAATATGTTGTGTTTCCTGTTTCAGTCCTGAAAAAAATTATTGTCGGTAGGTAGGGATTATATTTTTTTTCTGTCTTTTTTTTAAAGATTTTGGTAGTCTCTAGTGATCCATCTTATACAATACAGTTTAGTAAAGGTTGCATGAGGACACTTATATTTTCAATGTCAATGTTGGAAAACAGATTGTACAAAGCTTTATCACTCCGGTGTCAGATCATGGAGTTAGAAAAGGTCCATCAGCTCAAAAAATTATGTCGCTTGCAGTGTTCCACAAAAAAAAGGCTAGGGTCGGCAATTTTTTCTAGGGTCGGTCAGGAAACAGGAAACACAACATTTTTTCCTAGGCCTTAGTACTGCTAATTGTGGAACTTTTTGCGGTGCTTTTATTTTTTGCAGTGAACTTATGACTATCAACTATGAATTTATGACTGAATACAAAAAATGTATGTGTTTTATAGTTCTACTATACATGTATTACAGAAACTTTAAACAACATCCCTCATACCGCAAAATAATATCACTACAAAGGTAAATGATTTTACAGTAATGAATATGAAAGGCATTACAGAAAGGGTAATCTGCCTGATGGCTTGTGTCCAAGTTTGAACAGAGAACCATGATTGAGTGTTAGGAAAAGGTCAGTCTCCATAAGATTGCACGGCACAACATACATGTAAATGCAGCACTTAAATAAAACCTTGTTTTGCTGAATACAGAGTTCAGTATTCTGCATTTATTTCTTGAGTTAGTGTCTTCAAATTATGTTACATACAATTGGAACAATTACTGTAACTTTACTTAAAATTGAAGGCATGCAGACCCCCATATTATGCAGATTTCCTAATTGTTATGTATTGTATCTTCTAACTGAATGCTGTAATGTCTGTTTAAATTGTAGACAGCTGGTAAAAAATGCTTGTCAAACAGAGGATAAGCTTTCTATTTAGCACTTTTAGTCAGTTTTTCTATTTTTGATTTAAAAAAAAAACAAGCTGACAAAATCCGCCTAAAGAAAATTGACAAAATATAAAGTTTGACAACATGCTTACAACATCCAAAATAACCCTAACCTCTGCTTGGAGAGTAGGTAAAAACAATCCAGTGACCCTAGATTGACCCCTAGTTTGATTGACAGCAGCAGCCCTCTAAGTGATAACTCAATTATCAGAGTAGCCAATGTCTCCCCAGCAGTCACCCTATGGGTGGGCAGGACCTGATATAGGCAGGACTCCAAATTGACTCTTCCCTGCCCCACATAGCCGATCATGACCTCTGACCTTCTCCAGACCAGTGTT